CTGGGAGCCCATCAGCGCTGCCCTGGGAGTATCGGGGCCAGCCCGATTGTTTCTCCTCTCCAAAAATCTGCCCGCTTTGCAGCGAGGAGCTCTCTCCTCTTTGCTGCCAGGCCCTGCGGCACAGCAGGGAAGGCAGCTGGAGGGCTGCCCACCCCGGCAGCGATGCCCAGGAAAGCTGGGCTCAGCAGGTTGATGGGTGGCCCTGTGACCCTGGCCCCGCTGCAGCAGAGCTGATGGAGGCACCGAAGCTTCGGGAGCCGGCTGGCGCTTCCCTGCCAACCCCCTGCATCCCGCCGGGGAGGATCTGGGCTTTGGGCTTATTCCCAGATGTCGGGGAGAGGCGAGGGGGGGACGGGACATGGAGCGGGGACCGTGTCTCCCCGTGCAGACGGCCTTCCAGGAGGGATGTCTGGGAACGGGACGGGGCTGAGCTTGTGCAAAATGGATCGGAGAGGCTGGGTGTCTGCTGGGGCAGAGGGCTCGTCGGGTTGCTCATGCTTGTCCTCGTCCCTTTGGGTAAGGAACCGACTCTCACTGGGTGCCCCTTGGGTTGGGTGAGCGCTAGGGGCTGTGCTGAGAGCCCTCGGGGACACCGTGCCATCGACTGATAGTGGTGCTGGCACAAGAGGTTTCTTTTAGTTCATCTGTGGTCCTTCTGAAGTGGTCATCCTGTGCCCTCGGCCTCTCCTTGGGGCAAGGTGGGGTGCAGAGCTGGCAGCTCGGGAAGCTGGGCTCAGCCTCTGTGGTTCCCAGGCTCCGACGTGATGTGCTGACACCAAGACCATTGTCCTGCTGATGCTGCTGTCCTGCTGATACCGAGTGCTGAGCAAACAGAGCAAGGGGCTCCTCTGGCCCAGGGACCAACACCCAGCATCCCGACACAGATCTGCAAGAAAATACGCCCAGGATTTCAAAGCCTTGACCAGGAGGCAGCTGTCAGCGGTGGGTTGCAGAAAGTGGAGCTGCGTGTCACCTCGTGTGGCTGGAGGCATGGCTGTGCCCCAGCATGGACCACACAAATCTCTGGCTTTGTAGCCATGCCTCTGCTCCAGCACAGCAGAGGGGAATTGTCTCCACTCCGGGAGCGAGCAGCTGGAGGACGTGAGCGGGCAAGGGGCTGAGCAGGAAGCAGGCAAGGCTTTCCTTCCACGTGTTCTTGCTAATGAAAACCAGGAGCCGTGCAACCTCGGAGTGCAGCAGTGCCTTGTGAAAACTGCATTGCAGAGTTGTCCGGGTGTCCTTTGGGCAGCACGGCACCTTTGCTGGGATTCCCTGGGAAGCTGGATGATGGTGGCAGGGCCAAGACATGGGGAGTAAGGAGTTCTGGCTCTAACAAGGGCCACGTCTGGCCGATTTGGCAATGCCTAGGTGGGATGCCTTCCCCCCCCGATCAGGAAATGTTGGGTCTGGACTATGTTCAAAGTGAGCGTGTGGTGTACGCAGAAGCTCCTTGGACTCCCCACCTTTCTGCCCTGAGCTGGTAGTTTTGGGGGTTTTTTGGTTTTTTTGGTTTTTTTAAGGATAGTGCAGGGCAGGAGGTCTCCTGCCAACCAAATTCTTATTTGAACAGGATGTTGACAGCTGGACTGCAAAGTGTTGCTGTGATGTGGTATTTGCCCTCTCAAAGGGCAAATGTGATGGTGCATCCAATGGCAAAGGCATCTCTCCTCCAAGGCAGATGCAATAACTAGTGCTCTGGCTTCTGTCCTGTTTTCTGGTGCTCACAGAGGCCCTGGCTGATCTTTACCAAGGCCCTTGATGTGTTTGCCTCAGTTTCCCTAGAGACCTACCTGGCCTGATGGGACTGTGTTTGCAGTTGTGAAATGACCCTCCTAGTGCAAACTCCCATTGCATTTAGCTGCTGGAGCCCCCTTCACCCTACCTGATTCTGTTTCTGTCTCTCACTTACAGTCTCAAACAATGAACTATGTGGGGCAGCTTGCTGAGACAGTCTTCGTCACGATGAAGGAGCTGTACCGGGGTCTGAACCCCGCCACCCTGACGGGCTGCATTGATGTGGTGGTGGTGAGGCAGCCCGATAACTCCTTCCAGTGCTCCCCATTTCACGTCCGCTTTGGGAAGCTGGGTGTGCTGCGCTCCAAGGAGAAGGTGGTAAGCGGTGTCTGCCCTGGGACTGTGCTTCCTCTCTGGTGTCTCCAGACCTAGGATCTTCCATAACCCATAGGTTATGGAGGAATTTTGTTTGAGGGGATTGGGACCCCTGCTGAAAGGCGTGCTTGCCAATTTTTGGAGGGGGTGCTCCTGAATGGAACGCATCTTCTTCCAGGGAGGTCTGTGCTTCCCAGGAAAACTGGGAGAGGTCCCTTGCCTCAAAGGCTGGGTGGCTGTCAGCCCTGTGAGCAACCCCAACCCGTCCCTTCCCTGGGGAAGTGCCTTCCTCTGCACCGACGGGGAGTGGGTTCAGATGGACAGTCTTCTTCTGCCCCTTCCTAGGTTGACATTGAAATCAATGGGGAGCCTGTGGACCTGCACATGAAGCTGGGTGACAATGGAGAGGCCTTCTTTGTCCAGGAGTCGGAGGAGAATGAGGTTGGTGATGAAGAGGTGCTGCTGGTCTGTGTCCTGCTGTGACCACCTGGAAGTGCAGGGTTGAGGGGGAAGGACCAGGTTTGGACTGCTCTTCTTCCCCAGGGTGACTCTGTTATCCCCTTTTATGTGTCCGGAAAGGTTCCTACTCAAAGGACCTTGCAACCAGTGTGGAAGATCTGGGCAGTGGAGCACCCTGAGGGAGCATTAGATCAAATATCTACATCCCAGACTGGCCTCCATCAATGGGCATGGCTGCTGGCCAGCCAGGCAGATATCTCGGAGGACCTTGTGACAGGGATAAGAGTGATCCAGATGCTGTGGCAGGCTGCCTGCTCTGCTGGGAAGCGGGATGAGACTAGTTGTGGCTTCTAGAAATCTTGGCAGCTTTCTCCTGGCTCACTTGTGGTCGCTGCTAGCTTGGGCTGGGTTTGAGATCAGGGAGAGAGCTCTGGAGCCGAATTTCATCTGCAGCCTTTGTAGTTCTGGTCTTGTGGTGCCACCTCCTGCCTGCCTCTCCTTGCCCACGTTAAAGATGACTTTAACTTGTGGCTGGATAGCCCTACTTTCTTTTTTTTATTCGCATGTTGTGTGTACAAAACCTTTCCTTTTAGGCCTAGCCACAAAACCACTCCCAAATTGAGGGCTCACTGGTGTTGGTTGTGCTGGTGGTATCTTGCATAGACGAGAGCCATGAGCTGCCAGGCTGGAAAGGAGGGTGCTGGAGCTGATGGGCTCTTCCCGTCCCTGTTGCAGGGCAGCATCCCCTCCCGCCTCTGCACATCCCCCATCCCCACGGAGCAGAGCCCGGAGGATGCTGCTCAGCCCTTTCATGGGCAGGAGGCCTCCAGCACTGAAGTGACCTCGCACAAGAGGAGGAGGCGCAGGAGAAAGCCCAAGCAGAAGGAGATTTCAGAGTCCGAGTTAGAAGGCTGTGAGGAGACCAGGAGCGAGATGTCCATGGAGGAGCCATGCAAGCTGCCAGCCCCAAGGTAAACTGTGTGGTCTGGGCAGGGCGATGCAGTGGGTCGAGCCTGTAGGTTCACTTGGTGATGCCCAGCAGTACTGAAACATGGGGAAAGTGTTTCCAAGCTGGACCACAACCTCGTGTGGAGTAGGAAGCCAGTGGAAATGGTGAAGTTTGGTATTGCCAGCTTTCCAGGAGAGGAGGCTGGTGCCCGAGAGTAGCATAACTGACCTCTTTCCTCCTTTGCAGTGATTCACTGTATTTCTCCTTCGTTGATCTCCCTGAAGAAGAAACTGGGTCATTGCAGTCCCCAGAGATGCACCCATACTCTGACGGGGAGCTGGCCTCCGCGGACAGGTAACCAGCAGAGCCAAGGCAATCTGCTCGGCTTTGGTGAGGGCAGGGGACGTGCCTTTGTGGCTGGGAAGGTGGTAAGGAAAAGGGACTTGGGGGTGTCAGGAGAGGAGGGTTTTCCTGGCCTGATATGGTGTGGCTGGAGGAAAGCTCAGAGCCCATGAGGGACCCTTCTGGCCATGGTCACAGACACGAGAAGCCTGCGTGCACGTGGCTCTCCTGCCTCTGCTGCTGGACAACCGATGGCACAGCACTTTGCTGCCTTGGGCCTCAGCTTCCCGTGGGTCTTGCTCATTTGTAAGTGATGGTCTTATGGGGCAGAACTGACTCTATAGGAAACCAACCTTACAGGGCTCTTGGCCCTAAATGTCCTTGCAGTGACAGGAAAGCATGGGGCTGTAGAGTAGATGAGGTCCCATATTGCCTTCTCTTCTTCTAGCCCCACCCTGAGCCATCCATCTTCTCCCAAAAGTGACTCTGAACTGGAGATCAGACCCCAGGAGAGTTTTGCTCTAGGGGCTGAATCCCGCATGCAGTGGACCTGGGGAAGGCTCCCTCGGGTGAGTCCCTGCTCTTGCTTTTCTCTAGCAGCTGGTGGGAGGGGGGTATCTGAAAGGCTCGCAGAAAGTGGAGGGGGCTGTGGCCAGGCAGCCTTAGAGGAGTTGTCCTCTTCTGCCTGGTGCTTTGGGCAATTTCCCATCCTCAAACCTGTTCTTCTGCTTTCCTTGAGGTGAATAAATCGGAACGAGTTGAACCGGCCAAGTCCCCAAAGACCATTGCTACTGCAGCAACCACTGTCTCTGCGACACTGGTCCCAGTGGATGAAGCAACCCATCTTGTCGACACCTCTGAAGGTCTGGGAGGAGGACCAAGCCCAGCAGGACCTCAGGGCATACCTTGTTCCTCTGTCGTGTCTGTTGTTGAGCCAACACCCGTACCCTGGCATGGGAACAGCATCCCCAGTGCTGTGGGGACAGAGAACTTGGAGGCCTCCTCAGCCCCACAAGAGAAACAGGAGGGAGGGAGGAGTGCTGTGCCAGAGGTTCAGCCAGATGTGGAGCCCTTTGAGGGAGCTGCTGCTCCAAGGCAGGTGGGCTTGGAAGGCCCCGAGCCCCAGCTGGAAAGGCAGAGGATAGAAGGTAAGTGGGTGACTGGTGCTGCTGGAAGCAGTGTTGGAGCCTGCAGATGTATCTGACTTGGATGGGAAGCTGGGTGGTTCATGCGGTGTAACTCCTCCATGACCGCCCTGGGCGTTCAAGGTGTGACGTGTTTGCTTTGCTCTCTCCATGTGCTACCAGCTCCTTTGCTTTGAAGAGACATTCCTCAGGTTTCCTCCTTTCTGTGACCACCCAGCTCCCCAGGAAGGCTTTCTTGCCTTATGTTTCCTGAAGCCCATCCTTGGATGTCTCTACATTTGCATGCTTGGAGACTTCTCAGCAGTGTAGACTATGCCTTAACCTGAAGTGTCTGGCAGCACCTAGCCTGACTTGTGTCTTCACGCCAAGTCAGGTGGAAAACCACAGAGCGAAGCATGCATATGTCTCCCTTGGTAGTGTATTTAAGGATTTTACATCGTTACCTGTCCTAACTGACCTTGCTCTTCCAGCTAACATAAATTCAGAACAAAATTGTCTCCCTGAAGAAGAGATGCTTGGGATTCCTCATTGTATGAAGAGGGAGATCACAGTGTTATCTTCCACGGTGCTAACTTCAAACACCACCTTCAGATTGTCATAGCAGAATATTGGCAGGACTTTGGCCTGTCCTTTGTGTCCTCTTGGCAAGTAGTCTCACGCCAGTGCAGGTATCTTGAGGTACTTCTGTTGCTATTGACTTAAGGCAGCTTTTCAAGTAGGGAAGGAGATGCCCTCTTTATATGATATACGAATATGTTAGAGCAAAGTGCTGTTAGCTTTCTCGATAGATGCTGAGACGGTTGGAAAGGTGATTCAGCTGAGCCCTCTCCCTTCTGTCTGTGCATTGAGGATCCACCAAAAGAAGTCCTCACTTGGGTCCCAGTGACGTCTACCTGGAAGACCTCTCCAACCTGGATGAGGAGCAGGTGGCTCTCTATTTCCCCAGGAGGTATGGGTTGTCCCAGTTGGCCAAGCTCAGCCCTTCTTGAGCAATTCCCTTGCAGCAAAGGATGGAGGTATGTCTAAAGGTATTGCCTGATGTTGCCGCTGTTTCTTCTCTTGCTGGTAGTGACACAGAGCAGAGTTCAAAGACTGTGTCAGACCCCAGCAACCCTCTGTGTGTCCAGCTGCCATCCGACTTGCCCTCCGACAGCCCTGCGGACTCCGACTCAGATTTGATGCCGGCAATTGCCCTGTCACTGTGCGGAGGCTTGTGGGGCAGCAGGCAGATCTCTCGTGGTAGGTGGGAGGGGAGGGGGAATCTGCTGTCCTGGCATCCATTATGTACACCATTGGCATGACACAGCCTCTGTCCCACCAGAGAAGTTCATGGAGCACATGGTCTCCTACCAGCAGTTTGCTGAGAATCCGGGAATCGTTGATGACCCAAACCTGGTGATATTGATCAACAAGAAGTGAGTGGCCTGCTCTTCCTCCTACTTCATCCCAAGATGACCAATGTGGCCCCTTTATCCCTACAGAAACACTCCTGTAGGAGTGTCGCTCCATCCCAGACAATGATTATACTGCAGTTGTGGGAGGGGACCTTCTGGCCATGCTGCAAGATGGCGATCTGGAAACAGCCCTCGCTCCAGGAGTGATGATGTTCCCATCCCTCTTGCTTCTTCCAGGTATTACAGCTGGGCAGTGGCTGCTCCCATGGTCCTGTCCCTGCAGGCTTTCCAGAGGAACATTCCCGAGGTCAGTGGCACAACACGTTTACTGGCCGTGCTTCTCAGCAGGGCTTGAAGAGTGCAGTGGGGCTGCAAGAAGCCAAGCTGCTCATCTGGGGCTTTGCGAGCAGTCTGGGGCAGAGCTGAACATCGCTCCAGCCCACAAACCCTGAGGTCTGTCCTTTCCCACAGAGGGACCTCGGAGTGGCTTTTAGATACCTGGGTACTACTGATGACCAGAGAGCTGAGGTTTCCTTGTCAAAGATCTCCTATTCTGGTCGTTGTATCTGCGCAAGGCTGGCCAGAGTGAAGGGCTCTGGTGGTCTGGAGGATTTGGGACTGTGAGAGCCCACTCCAGGGCTCTGTAGACCTGGCTGGGGTTGTATGGAACAAGGCATCCAGATTTTTTATTTTTTCCCAAGATGCATGAAAGGAACAGGTCATTGTATCCTTCACCCCAAAACCATCTCGGCTCACAGTGGCAGGAGTCACATCCTGTCCTGTGAACAATTTTGCAAAGGAAACCCTGCCTGGATGAGGGTCTCCTTAGCCTGTCGGCAGCTGAGCCTCCCTGGGCTGAGGACTGACTTCATCCCATGTTCTGCCACATTAACAGAGCACCATTGACCAACTGGTGAAGGAGAAGATGCCCAAGAAAGGCAGCAGGTGGTGGTTCTCCTGGAGGAGGAGAGAATTCCCAGCAGAGGAGGTATGTTTGCAGCAATGGCAGTGCCGACCGTGTCCCCAGGGGACAGGTGTCATTCTGGTGGCTGGCAGGGTCCTGGGGGTGGCCTGAGGGACCTGTTGGCAAGGTGACTTCTGAAGGTTGCTGCTGTCCCCTGGGGTCTGTTAATGCCTGAGCAGCAGGACAATGCCTGGTACTGCGGTAACATGGACCTTGCAATGGTGAGACCTCTTGCCACGTGCCCTTCATGCCACATCCCAGGCATCACGTGTGCTTGCTGGTCTCCTTGCTCCACCACAGCACCAGGTTGTGGTTCCTCTCCCATGGGGTAGTATCCTCATGAAGGCAGGGGGATGCATTGCCACTTCTCTGGTGTCTCTGCTCCAAGTGGCAGGAGAGCGAAGCAGCCCCTGCTCCTGCCCTTGGCATTGAGGTGCCAGTGTCACCACTCTCTCTCTGCAGCAGCAGTCGAGGCCTGGGAAAGCCAACGTGGGGATGCTGCAGCCGGACTCTGCTCAGCAGAGGTGAGTGCCTTCCTCCCAGCTGCCCTCAGGAGTCTGTGCATGCCTTCGCCTCCTAAATGACAAATTATTCCCAAGTCTATATAATATATGAGGGCAGAAAGCTCTGTTAAGGCTCTGGCTGATCCCGGTCCAGCCAAACTCCTCCATGGCTGCTTCCTGGTGGATGAGTTGTCCTGGGTCTCCTCCAGATCTCCCCTGGTGCTCATGGGGAAAGCCATGGTCTGCCGAGTAAAGCCAACATGCTCTTCCCTTCTTTGTATAGGCAGGAGGAAGAGGGGATATAATATATGAGGGCAGAAAGCTCTGTTAAGGCTCTGGCTGATCCCGGTCCAGCCAAACTCCTCCATGGCTGCTTCCTGGTGGATGAGTTGTCCTGGGTCTCCTCCAGATCTCCCCTGGTGCTCATGGGGAAAGCCATGGTCTGCCGAGTAAAGCCAACATGCTCTTCCCTTCTTTGTATAGGCAGGAGGAAGAGGGGTCGTCCAGTGATGATGAGCCCCTGCACCCTGGGGACAGGTTAGCAATGGATGCCCCTGCACAGAAATCTCTGCCAACCTACAAGAAATCTCTTCGGCTCTCCTCTGAACAAATCGTATGTACTTTACTCCTCCTCCACTGCCTGCTTCTGTGTGTAGGGGTGAGACAACCCTTAAACAGGGATTTCTCTACTCCTGAACTCATGTTTTTATAGGGCATCCAAGTCTTTTGCCCTGGGCAGCCACCCTGTAGAGGCTTGGGGTCTCTGGTCTGGCCAGGTGGCAGTCTGGCCTCTAGGAAGGCTTGGACTGGTGTGAATCGGTGCTGGTGTACTGCTTTTGTTCCCCCTCTGCCACAGGGAAAGCTGAATCTGCAGGATGGCCCCAACGAGGTGGCATTCAGTGTGACGACTCAGTACCAGGGCACGTGCCGCTGTGAGGCCACCATCTACCTGTGGAACTGGGACGATAAGGTGGTGATCTCAGACATCGATGGCACCATCACCAAGTAAAGGGTCTTTCTCCCACCCTACATCCCTGCTCCTTGCCCCGTTAGGGGAAAGTGTCCTTTCAAGGCTTGCGAAAGCAGGCAGGAGGGACAACGAACTCCATCGTGGTGGGGGTGGGTATGCACCAGGTTGGATCAGGCTTGGTTGGTCTCTTTTTTCCTTCTAGGTCGGATGCTCTTGGGCACATCTTGCCACATCTGGGAAAAGACTGGACTCATCATGGGATTGCTAAGCTCTTCCACAAAATCCACCTGTAGGTATTGGATCAACTGAGGCCAAGGGGAAGTGGGAGGATGATGGAGGAGAGGCTGACTGGGAGCCAGAGTCAGGGCTCCTTACTCATTGATAATGCTGGCCAAAATAGCCTAATTTTCTGCTCTCAGTGATGGTTGATGCTTTCTGTGCTGTCTGGATGATGTTGGGGAGGTGAAAGCAGGGGGGGAAAAGCAGGGGGCCTCCCCTGGGAGCTGGGAGCAGATGCTTGCGTTGCCTTCCCTGGGAGGAGTGAGTGTCAGTGGGAGCTTTGCCGGGGAGATGTAGCTGAGCACTGAAGGAGATGAAATCACACAAAATTACACCCGAGAGGCCGCAGGCACAGCCGAACACCTCTGCATTGCTGTGCAGCAATGGCATCGGGGTCCACCCAGCTCTGCCAGGCCAGTGGATGGGTGCCAGTTGCCACTCTGGGTGCCCAAGGGACTGACGCACCCTGGGGTGCTATGCTGGCCCCACATCTGGCAGAGGTTGGCAGTGGGTCCCCACGGAGCCTGGCCTTCAGCTCCATCCTTGGCACCCGTGGCCACTAAGAGGCACTGTGGCCCCACGGATGGCTGGTCCCGGCCGTGGGAGTGGGGGGGAGTACATGGGGCTCCCACTCCACGGGTGGGTGCTGCTGGGCTGGGGCTGCCCTCGCTGACACCTCGGGTGCCTTCTGCCACCTCGGATCCCGCGAGAACCCCGTACCACCTCTGTCCGAGCTGCCCATCCCACCGTGGGGGTCTGCAGGGGCTGTGTCCAGCTCCCCACAAGCCGGGGGCAGCCCGGTGTGACAGAGGTGCTGGCCTGGGGGTCCCGCCTGGGTGCACGGGTACCACCGAGCAGCAAAGGCTGCTTTGTAGCCAGGACGGGTGTGCGGCTGCTGGGAAGGGCCTGGAGGGTGATACGGGGTCCCCCTCCAGCGCTGCTCCCCAGCAGTGAGGCAGATGGGGATCTGTTTTAGCCTGAATCTCGGGGTGAGTGCGTCATGTTGTTTGCGAAGCCACCTTGGTTGCTGAAGGGAGTGAACAGGGTTTGGAGTTAGGCCAAGTATTCAGCCTCATCCTCCCTCTTCCTCCTCTGCCCGGGAGGACACCTTGTCCAGGGCACAGCTGAGGGCTTCCCTGTGCTCTCTCTAGGAATGGCTACAAGTTCCTCTACTGCTCAGCCAGAGCGATCGGCGTGGCACACATCACCAAAGGCTACCTCAAATGGGTCAACGAGCAAGGCTGTGCCCTCCCCAAGGGTCCCATCCTGCTCGCCCCCAGCAGCCTCTTCTCTGCCTTCCACAGGTACTGCGTCCTCTCCTCCTCCTCAGCCCTGCACCTCCCGTGTCCCTGGGGTCGCACCCCCCTTCCCCAGCTCGATGCTGAGGGATGTCACAGCCTTAAACTGCTTCTGGCGCCCCCAGCAGCCTCTTCTCTGCCTTCCACAGGTACCGCGTCCTCTCCTCCTCCTCCCCAGCCCTGCACCTCCTGTGTCCGTGGGGTTGCACCCCCCTTCCCCAACTCGATGCTGAGGGATGTCACAGCCTTAAACTGCTTCTGGCCTCCTCGGTGCAGGATGCCTTTCATGGGAGGCAGCAGGGGAACTGCCTGCCCTTCCTTGGAGCTTCATGGTGAAGCTCCTGATGCACAAAACTTCCCTTGCCCTTCACATCACTTCTCTGAGCCGCGGACAGCCTGGCTGCCCACAGTCCTGGCCAACTGATGCCACTCTGACCTCTGCTCTGTGCATGTCTCTTGTGCTGCAAGGGAGGTGATTGAGAAGAAGCCAGAGGTGTTCAAGATCGCCTGCTTGATGGACATCCAAAACCTGTTTGCCACAAAACTGCCCTTCTATGCAGCCTTTGGGAACAGAGCTAACGTGAGTGGGTCTCCTGGGGAGGAGGGAGGGCTCAGGCTGGGGCGGTGGTGGTGATGGTGCCTTCCTGCAGCTCTCATGCCTCGCTGACCTTCCTTGGGCAGGACGTCTACGCCTACAAGCAAGTGGGCCTGCCGGAGAGCCGCATATTCACGGTCAACCCCAAGGGAGAACTGATCCAGGAGCTCATGAAGAACCACAAGTCAACGTAAGCGACGTGCTTGTCCCTCAGCATCTTTGGGTTAACCTGGCTTTAACCCAGAGAAGCATCTCGTAGGGTAGAAAAGCAAACAAAACCTCAATGACCCCAATGCAGCTTCTTTCTTACCCCCCGTAGGTACGAGCGGCTGTCGGAGCTGGTGGAGCTCATCTTCCCTCCCCTGGGACAGAGTGGGAGCATCGCTCTGGTGTGCCCAGAGTTCAGCCACTTTACCTACTGGAGACCTCCACTGCCTGCTGTTGACCTGGATGCCTTCTCCTGACCCTGTTACCGGTGGAGACCTGACCCAGAGCTCTCCTGTGCATCTTCTGCCAGGCCTGGATGCTCCAGATGCATCTCCTCCTCCTTGTTTGCTGCTCAGGCATTTTGTACGTCTAATACGGGTCATGTTCTGCACTAGAAACACCCCTTCTCAGGGGGCCAGAGCGGGGTAAGAGGGAGCTCTGACTCCACAAAAACTCCATTTCCTAAACTAAAATTCCTCTAAGCTGGGTCTCTTCTTAATGTTGTTAACATCTTTAAAGCCTGGCTCTTTTTTTAAAGGTGGTGGTGAGTCACTGTCTTATTTATTGATGAGCCTCTGGCATAGCTATTGCTACCTCCAGTATGACCAGTGTTCCCAGACAGTCTGGCTACCTGCAGTTTGGTAGCTGATGGAGTGAAACTGTCCTGTGGCTTTACAACTCGTTAAGGTGGATGGAAGCTGTTGGGGTTTTGAGTGTTTTGAGCAGTAATTAATAAATATTGCCTTAATCTAGGCTGCCTCTTGTCTCTTGTAGCCCTGTGCATGGAAGTGGGGGCCAGGCTCCGTGTCCTTTGACAAACGTGGTTGGGTTTG